ACCCTGGTAAACCTAAAGTATTAGGTTTTCTTTGATATATATATTTATAGTTTATACAATTTGGACGATAAAAGCCAATCAATCTATTGGATATGGGTTCCTCTTCGGAATGTTTCATTGAGGTTCCTTCCACTCCACCAAAAAGGTTGAAAACCACTAGTGGATCCCAAATGGGAAAGTCCAGTAGCTGATAGGTGACTTCTATGAAGTAATGAAGGCAATTCAATTAGCAAATATATTCAACAGATATGAAGTTTTTGAAGATATGAAGATTTTTAAATAGTAATTGTGACTGTAAGTCACAAACATTGCGGAAGGTCTTACTCTTAGATCAACTAGTTGAAGTTGCTTTTAGGTGAAAACGTATGTATTTTTGTCATTTTTGTATGACAATTATGCTGGTTAAAATATGTTTAGATGTTATTATTTAAGTACACAATCTTTAAATTGTTTTTCTCATTTTGCATAATGCATACATGAAGCATGTATTGGCCAATTAAATGATCAATTATGGCCCTTCAGCTCCATCGCTGAGAATGTATCTGAAATATTTAATTGGATGGAATTGGACCGGTAATTACTAACTAGATATGTAAGACCATGGTTTGTCATGAGACTAAGCTGTCCTAACAGCTTTCCTCACTCTTCGGCCCCAAAATGAAAAAAAAACTTAGGAAAGTTTGTAAAATAATATTCTTAGTGAGGTAAAATTTGTTGAAACAGTAATTATCGCATGTGAGCAAAATATTGACAATATTTTTATCATTCTTCGACTAATTTTGCAAATGACGTACTACTGGTTCAATCAAGATTTTTTAGAATCTCTAATACCCAGATAATGACAGGATGTGCAATGTTAGTTAGGCACCCACTGTACCACTACATTCACCAGTTTAGGAATATTGTGCAACCTGTACATTGATAAATGCAGCACACATATGATAAAGTTGCAAAAACAACGAGTTTTATGAAATCTGTGAGATGACCCACCCACTCAAGTTTCCTCATAATTTCCGATCCTTCGGTTCGCCTACCCGATGCACGAATGCGATATCGGTTGTTGTGGCACAGCACACTTGGGTCAAATTACGCGGATATGGCGTTTACGATGACATCACATCCGCCGCAAACTGAAAAACAAGAAACGCCTTTTCCGGTGCACGTCACCTTTCATTTTTATTTTTGATATGCGTATCATCCACTCTTATATTTTGTTATCAATAGGAATGTTTTCATTTATAACTTTGCAATATGCCTTATAAGAGGTTCAATTCTCCACACTCGCAGAGAAAACGCGCGTTTCGACAATATTTAACCTTGTGGCAATACCAGACGCCAGATGGCATCAGTGAGTAAGCAAGTAAATGGGATCAGGCTTAGAGATATTTTGCCTGAGGCAGTGTAGTTCTTGTGATGAGGATAGGACTGTTCAAGTTTGCGACAAAAATCAAAATACTAATTCCTAGGTGGCGCTAGATCGCACTCTGTACGTTTGTAAACACAGGCGGCGGACGCGCACGAGTAGACAAATACCTTTGTTCACATCGAAACATAATTTTACGTCATAGAACGCCGCCAGATTGAACTCTTGTAATGGAAACCGCGCTCGTGCAGACCATTCTTTACATTCCGTTCTATACATAGAAACATGTGTAAATACGAATTAATCCGCGCTTATTATTGGATATTTCAGTTTTTTACCACATTTTATCAAAAGTAGGCTACCTGTTGAGAATTGTTTATATTTAGTCGATACTGCAAGTTCTGTTGGAGTATATACAGTCAATTTCTGACACCATCTGACCTTGTAAATAATGGTAAATCGCGTTCATTGTTATCGGTACCTTGAAAGTGCTTTTGTGTCGCGAAAGCAGCCAGAAATTGTTTATTCCACTATTACCTTAAAATATTTTGTTTTTTCCTTTTTACGCGATCAGATCCTTTTCTTATAATGAAAAATGTATGAGCTTTAATTTACTGGCGATTTGCCACAAATCCTAAATTTAATTTAAATTAAGTCGGTTTGTGCCCTGCATGTTATTTTTGCCTAGAAGCATGCAGCAATGACGTACAATGTTAGGTTATTTTTCTCGTGGCCACACACTTGATTTTCACCTCACGCCCGCATCGTCTGACAAACAATGACTTGGGCTTTTCTAATGCGGCGGACGAATAATGATGTTTGAAATCAAGTTATATGCTGAGTTATAACGTGATCGAAACATCGTAGCTCCTTGATTACGCCATTTTCGCGCAAGTATGCGTCACGTCAAGAAGATGAAGTGTCGTCCGTTACACGTCATAATATTCTACGTTTAATCATTTACTGTACAACTGAATTAATTTAAATTAGTACAATAGGTAGATGATTGGGCATACTGGATTAATATTGTATACTATTTGTTACGCTGAATTTGAATTCGATTTCATTATAGCTACAATTTTATTTTTTATTGAAACGAAATTTGAATTGATCAGATGATAATGATTCAGTAATTCGAATTATATTCCAAATTTGAAAATTACTTTTTTATTATAGGCTATAGCTTCATTGTGTAGGTATGTGTTTCGTTGTTGTATGCCAAATAGATCATCTCATATTTTGATAAAGTTAAATCCGTGTAATTTCTAAGGCTTGGAAGAATATTTTACTTTTATTCGGATACTTCACGTCACTTTTCCTGTTCGTCATGTTTCATAACAGGACAATTATTTTTAACGTTTTATTCACCTAATTTAAAGAAAAGCGTCACGAATTCTGTCCAGGCCGCTCTCCGTATAAGGGCTGACAACGGAAATGACGTCACGCGCAAGTGTTTCCTCGTGATATTGTGCGCGCAGGAAGTTTGTATTGATCTTCTGAACAAGCGTTGAATTACGCTTCGCCATCAATGGTCATTAGTTAAACACACATATTGCGGTGGTAATTTTGACTTAGTCGAATGTAAAGGTTATAGATTTGTGTGTAGGCCTATGCATTGGCTAAATTGTTCTTTCGTTTTGCACGGTCTGGGCCATCTTTTTATGTAGGATTGTCACTGTTATAATTCGCGCTCTCGATTGCCTTTTTCTCCATTCTTGCTCTCCTGTGTCTATTATTTTCTCGAATTGCAGGCCGGGCCACGCGGGATTGCGTTCTCGCCAAAACATTTGTATTATGATGACGATTTTAAATCACGCTCGCACATACACAACGCTTAAAATGAGTAGCGACGAAGTAGCATGTGTGACCACATAAAAAGAGGATGATAATGATGATTTTAATTTGTTCGTAGCTCTTCTGTATTAGACAGGAAAGCATTGTGCGTCCTGTACAGTTTGGGATACGGTTAGAAAAGGTTTTAATATTGATCATCGGGTCAGCGCACCAGAACTTTACGAGAACATCATTTTAAAATAAACCGTTTTCGAGTATGTTTTAATAAGAAAAAAGAAATCTGAAAAGCGTTTAATGTCATATGCTGTTTTTAGTCACGAAACCCTTTTTACTCTCGCGAAACTGCAACAAGTTGATACTTTTTGCGTATAATACGTATATTTGTTACGTAACAATTGGTAACTATACAAATCCTAAGTCAATATATATTAGGAACGATCAAATCAATAGTGCAATAAACACGGGAGTCACAGTATTGCCATATGATGAATTGTCTCTATGTTCTTTAGTTTGTAAACGGTCAACCGCGCACCGACTGACGATGATATACTTACTCTCTCTCGTAGTTCGCGTCAAAGTTATTGATTAGATTGCTTTGCCTTTTCACTATGTGATTAATCGAACTGCAAAAGTACGTGTTACGTTTGCTTTGAGAAGCATATTATGCGGTTTGATAGAGACTAATTCAAGTAAGTCCTTGTCAGTTAATTTATCAGACTGGTATTATGTCTTTGCAGTACTCAATTGATCGGTGGTGATTTGAGGTGTTTACAGTGTAAACAATAGTGCTTTATGCTCTATTTTAGTCAGTTGCAGATTTTGAAAGCGTACAGCTACCTTTACGTTTTGATAGGATTTTAATTGTAAAGTTCAAGTTGAAAATAAATACCTATGTCCACATAGACTCCAACAATGGTAATACACTTCATAGCCTTCACCTCCGTGGTTAGAAAGGAACCTGTACGATTAGCGCGTTTCTGAACATTCAGGGTAGTATTGGTCTTATCACATCAAGTTTAATTAAGAAATGTTTGCAAACGTGGAAAATGATAGCAATGTAAAACATTAACATGAATTATCACTAAAGTTCTTGTATATAGGGTGACGCTATGCAAGGGATCATGTTACTTTATGTTTTTGTGTTATTTCTTAATCAGTAATTTTACAGTAAAGTCACCTAGTGGGGTTCAAGTACTTTCAAAATAATAAATTACAGTTATCTTAATTCATATTGGTATTAATAGATTGTTGTCAGTGGTTTGTACGGTTAATATTTAGTCTCAAATAAATGTTAAATTGGTCAGTTTTAGTTTGATCCATTTACTACTTGCGAACCATAGAAACTGGTTGACCACAAATTATTGTGAATAATTAGAAGATAAATTTGACAATGTTTCTGTGTTGGGTGTCTTAGCATATATTAGAAGAGCAGTGTTGTTCAAACTTTTTCCATCACAACCCACTCGGCAGAGCCAAATTTTTTGCGACCTACAAGAACTAAAATGAAAATGAAGTAAAATTTGATTATACAAAGAATAAGTAAAGTAAAGATTACTGTAAGCCCCCATTTAGACCTTTCTCACCCAACCTGGGGGCCTGGACCCCAGTTTGAAGTTAAAAGTCTCATTTCAAACTCGTATTCAATCCAATGACCTGTCCATGCACCAATTAATCAAATCTCACTCTGTAGGATAATCCCGATCAAGAATCTAGTAGACGCCAATACTTGCTTGTTTACAGCCTTGCTCAGAAGGAAAATGCAAACCGTTGCTGTACAAATGAATTTGTTTTCTATTTGCGAGCATTCTCATCCCATTTATAATTTATATTTATCCTTCTGTAGGAGATGATATCGTTAGATTATCAATCACAAGTAGAGAAGGAAATATACAACACGTTGTAGTTCATCAACAATCTCTACCTTCGGCTGTTAATACGAGTGCCTTAGCTCACAATCCTAATGAGATTACACATGGTAAGTGATTGTTTATAACAACAATGATTGATTAATGCAAAACTATATAATTGATCTTCGATATATTTGGTTTGTAACTTAAAATAGCGACAATGCTTATGTATTATAAAGGATCAGAAATAGTCTTTGGCGAAAAGTGTAACATAATCTGTTTTGATACCAAGATGGTGTGATTGCTCAGGTAAAGGCATATTTTTTATTATTTCAATATGTAATAAATATGAGTCTCAAAGCATTATCTGTGACTAAATTGTGGAATACGTTACTGATAGTTATTAATAGAATGCCTCATTGATTATATTCATGTTTTGTTTTCTTCATAACAGGAAATGGGCCACACGAATTTGATAATATTTTGAACCAGTTAACAGCCAGCCACATACAATCTAGTACATCAGGATATGGTAACCCAGACCAGAATGTCTTCGTAGTGCCTCAACCAACAACAAAAAAGAGAACCACTCGAAAGCCTAAGGAAAAGAATCCATCGAAAACTAATGTCAATGCTCTTATAAGTGTGACGTCTAACGGACCAGCAAATTTAAACACGAACACCCACGACATACTGGCTGGCAGGATGGGAATGTCTGGTGAACAAGCTGCTACAGACACTCTAGGTTTGAGCGACATGCCGAATCTCGATTTCCATGACTTAATAGGGGCAGATGGTACTTCGGCACCATTAGATCTCGAGATGGTAAATGATTTATTACACATGGACAGTATGCCCCAACCACAAAATCCAACGCTTGGCATGTCGCCGTCTTCTCTTAACTCTAGTCAAGTTCAATCTCATTTGGAGGGACCTGGTATGAATAGCACACCCCATTCTCTTACGAATACCTCAGATCAAAACGCAAATGAAGTAGACGATTTATTTAATCTCCAACTCCACAGCTTTGAAACGGAAGATGATCAGTCAACCAGTCACTTAACTCCAAGCATAGGAGGTAATTATCATTTCTGATCGATTTTTAGAGTGATTTGTTCAATTTTGTAATCAATTAGATTTTGATATTTTAGTGCTATAGTAATAAAAATCTGTTTTATTAAGCATACCTGTTTTTCCATTGGTGAAAGTTGTCAAAATGTCTGTCTTGTTTTTGACATCGTTGATCAATACTTATTATACTCATTGATTTCAGATTTGTCATCGTACAGCCAAGATCACAGTTTCACAAATGTTAGTGGACCCTCTCCTATCACTTCCCATGCAATACAAAGGCAAATGAGTTTCCCGCAGTATTCTTCAAAACAAGGCTCAATGCCGGGACATAATTCACAGGTATATTGTCGATAAAGTTCGTCTGATATTTTTTTAAACATTAGTCATGTGTATTAAGTTTTTAATAATAATATGAAACTTTGTATTACCTACATCAGGGCTCATACTGGGGGACCCTCGGTGGGTTAACGAAAGGGCTCAATGGCGGCTGCGGTTCCAATTATTGTCAGAACTAGCCATACTTACTCTTTTTGATTTTGCCTGATCTCTGTGAAAAATCTTTTCCACAAAAAATTTGGCAGTGCCAAGTGGGTCGTGATGAAAAAATTTGAAGAACACTGAACTACAATAATTCTAATGCCGGTTTATCTGTCAAATTTGTCAGAAAATCTAAGAAAAAATGGAAATAGTTCACTCTTAATAAGCAGAATTGCACTTTGGTATTGGTGTTTATCAATTATGATTTATTTTCTTGGCTTGCCCTCAGTATTTTGAGTCAACTTCTTCTGAGTACGAATATTGATAGTCTTATGAAAATATAATCTATTCGAAGATATAAAGCCATTTCTTGGCGCTCTAGAAGTATGTGTACCCATATGGAGGTAACTAATTTTGTTCGCCTATTTTACATCAAGTTGTGTAAAGAGACTGAAACCTATGGGCAGGGGGTATATTCACTTGGCTAACTCAGACATTCCCCGAACTCGTAATAGATCTAAAATAAGGAAAATCAGACTGAAATCATGGCCTAACCCTAACCTGGTACATATACTATTACCACTATTTGTTACCGTTATGCAAATTATAGTTTTATCTCGTCTCTGTGTTTACTCAGGGTATGTTCACTGCTGCAACTGGGAGGCAGAGTGTTGGGCCGATCAACACGGGACTTTCTTCTCCACACCATACCCAGCATATCATGCAAAACCCAGGTGTGGGTGCAGACTCGAATTCACAAGTGCCGGGGATGATGCACCCAGGAAACCAAAAAGGAAATATGATTGGTCACCAACCTGACATGACAGGTTTGAATGAATTTCATTTGTTAATTTTGTGAACAAAGAAACATCAAATGAGATGGACCTAGGGTTCACTTTGCTTGTTCCTTGTTGGAGTTTTTTTTGTTGGTGTTGTTAGGAGAAAGGTTTTTCTCAGCTACCAATGAACCAACCAATCAATATTGAGTTTTCAGTATTTCAACTCGAGGTGGTTTGAAGATGCTATAAGGCTATTATTTTTATTTTTTAAAATCTCTTTGGGACCCAATATTTCACCCAAAATTTTATCATTTATTATTTTATTTCATGGAAACACTTTGTTCCGTTGTAATAGTTTGCCTTCAAGGTTCTCCACCGATGTTTGCTAGGCACTATGTTCAAGTTCAAATAATATTTGTTGCATTTCAAAAATAAAAATAAAAACATCAGTTTCAAATTCCATCTAAGATTGACAGGGGATGCATCTAACTATATACATATATATAGCATAAGTAATAAACTGTTGCCTATAGTCAAACTTTTTGATAACATTTATTAATATAAATTTAATCTGAAATTTATATAGATATATTACAACAAGTGCTTCAAAATGAGAGTTTTCAGGAATCCGCTATCATTTTTGACATAGATATTAATTCAATTAATGAATCAAAGTTTTGAGTATATTAGCACTCGACGTCCATAAGCATATGGCTAGATGTTTGAATATATTTTCTTAGTATCATGATTTTTGATTCTAAATATTCTAAAGGTATCAGTTTTAACAAAATTAAGATTTAAATGATTTGTTGGCTGTGAAAATTTTTTACAGAAAAAAGATTTCAATTAATAAGCACTTGCATGTTGCATCTGTATTATTATTAACAAATGCAGTTTTTGTATTCAATTTCAACTCAATGCTCTAAACATCCGTATTATATCTGGTCTTAACTAACGGATTGCATTAGATTTCAATTTCAAGCAGGTATGAAATCATACATCATGGTATAAAGTGGAATAATGATGCTTCCACCTACACACACTCGCTTAGTCAAGTTTCCTGTATAATGTAATCACCATGCGACAACTTATAGGAAACTACTTACCTTCTAAATAGTATGCGTTTGGCATCATGCTCTGTTTTTATTATCTTTAATAAAATTTCAAAATTGGACATGTTTGTTTAAAATGAATTCAGGAATGTCCAAAACAAATTGATTTGGATTTTATTATATCTGATATTTTAAATTCTTGTTTTCGGAATAGTTCTATTTGAAAAATTATCATTTTAAGTAATTGAAGTCTTCCAGTATGGAGAAAAAGCTCTTTATTTAATTTGTACTATGGATGGGGGCCATCAAATTGGTGTTTATTTCAACTTTCCTGTATTTTCAAATTCATTGAATAATCATCGACCTCTACAGAACATGGCCCAATTTATAATATATTCAATAATTCGTATTAAAAAAAAATTTATGGAAATTGTTGCGGAAAAGTATGGCAGAAACTATCAGTGAAAAAAAAAAATTCTTGGAAAAATAGAATGCATGCAGAATATAGAAATAAGGAATTTTGATGAATTTGTTACTCTGATGGATATGGGAAGTTTAGGATTCTGGCTGTTCCGGCCCATGATTTCACTTTTTGAATAATAACTTATTTCTTCTGTATCTAATTGTTACCTGACCTCGCTCAAATCTTGGCAGAATATTGGTCACTTTTATTAGAATGTTCCCAAGCGATCTATAAAAAGCAAGCTTACAAATTAAGTTTCTTTAAAATTTGTGTCGACATCACATTTATTTGCCAAATTCGAAGATTAAAACTTGATTAATTATGGGTGCAGTCTGACGCTACAGCCAAAATAATGGTTGTACGAAATGTAAAGGATGTCTAACTTTGTCCATAATCCTTTTGTATTGTGTTAATGCCAAATCATTGATTAGTGAATATCTACATTTCATGTCACGTATGATGACGTACTTTTTCATGGCATTTCAAACCTTTCTTCTAAAGTGGAATATTTAACTATATAAAAAAGTCTTCATAATAATACCGAGATGTATTGGATGCGATATTCAAAATTATTTACTTTTATTATTGCAGTTATAATACTTTATGTTCATAAATATTAGATTGGTAATGCTAATGCTTTTGATATGTATTGAAGTTGCATTGTGCATACCTATTCAGCTACATCTTTTCTCACAAATTTAAATTTTTATTTATTCGTTGGGGCCTATTCCATTTTGTTATCATTATTAAAAAGTACACAAATTTATTTTGAGTCTCACCTCTGCCAGCTAACATCCTTCAAATTGAAAATTCTTGGAAACCTGAAATTTCCCGTATTGACAATAGTTTCACAACAGTCTAAAAGTGTGTTTATATATAGCCTACTAGCTACTATGGATCTTGAAACTTCGACCTCTGACTGAATACCATCAGTAATGTTATTTTGAATACTTCTCTGGTATTTAAGTGAAAAATATGAAGTTACATCAAGATCATGGCTTGTAAAGACTGGCATAGATGAAGCAGTCAAACGCTCCAGCTTCATCCATAGCAGTGATGTTATAGTGTATAAAGTATATAAATTGGTCTTATGTGATCAAATGTTGTCCCCTTGTCATAGTGAGGATTGGATTGACTACCTTATAAACGATATAAAATTGTTTTAGTTTCAATAAATTCGAGACTGGATACTTGAAGAGGTAAAGAGATTGGATGAAAATAAAATTTTGTTTTGACATAATTGGATATTGTATCAATTTATAATAAAGTTTTACCTTATAAACGATATAAAATTGTTTTATTTTCAATAAATTCGAGACTGGATACTTGAAGAGGTAAAGAGATTGGATGAAAATAAAATTTTGTTTTGACATAATTGGATATTGTATCAATTTATAATAAAGTTTATCAAACCATATTTTTGCTAATATCATTTGAAGTACAACCATTGCTAAAAAGCACATATTCTAGTTTGAAAAACTGACCAATATGCATGCGTATTCTTATAGTGTGTAATTACCATAAGTTTCCGTTTACATGTTCCCTACTTTTTTATGATCAACACAAAACATGTAATATTATTGCCATAAGTATTCTATGGATTGGGAAGCACTGCTCCGAAATTTAATGAGCTTGATTGCTTGTTCAATATAATATAGACAACAGCATATTGGGGCAAAGTACATTGCTGAGTACCGGCAACTCATTTCCTTTTTGGAATTTCAAATGAGAAAAATAAAGAATTCAAACCGGCATAATTAGATTTTGAGTAATATATATTATATATTGGTTCATATGATTTTAATTTAGTAACCCGTTATCGGATTATGAATAACTTTGTATACTAGTTTGGGATTTGAATATTTTAATAATAGTATTCAATATTTATGTAGGTGAGAGATATATAATCATGCGTAATAGTAACTAACAGTTGGGACTTGGGGTCACATGAAACTAACTACCTTTCCTTCCCCTATGCCTTTGCGCTGGTGGATCTGTATGCATATAACGCAAGGATGCTGTAGCAAGAGTGAAAATGACTATTCTATTTAATTACAGACCCAGTATTTGATACCATTATTTATGTGCATGCCATTGCGTTTTTTGCCACAGTTGTAAAATGCTTGTCTGAAAAAGTCTGACCTCGGTCCGACGAAACGTTACAGAAATACATTTGTGTTAGTTTGCAGCCAGACCCTTGAATTAAATAGATGCGTAATAGTGTTACTGTATTACTTACTTTTATTTTCTAAAATAAATTGTTTTTTGTGTTTCTCGTGTCGCAAAATAGTTTTAAGAATCATGTTGTGGAAGATTTGATTTAAAAAAATATTGTAGCGGTAATTATGCACTGTAAACTCATTTATATTTACCTTTGTGGTACCGGTATGATTTTATAACAATTGAAAAACATGATAAAATACATAAATTCATCTAATCTGTCAAATGTAAAAATAGATGTTTCATAACGGCTGAATTTGATACCTCTAAATGCATATTTTTTTTAATTCATCCAAATTAAAGTACAGTTTATTTAAACATTGTATCACTCGTGGCTGAAGGAAAATTTTTATTCAAAAGCTATTATAAACCAATTGAAAAATTTAAACTTATTTATCTAGCCATTGCATTTTTCTTTGCAAATAAAATATTTTTAGGTGCCTCTCATCATGGCCATGTTTGTAGAATAAAAAGGACTTATTTTTTGATGCCATGATAGTACTTATTCACATCATTCAGTCTATTGAAAACCATTTTTTATAGGAGTGACGATTTTTTCTGATTTATTTTTATCACGGTGTAGTATATTTAGTTTTTAGGTGTTATAAATAGACTCTAATGGTCAATCAATTCCATATAAAGAGATGTATTTTCTTCATGTAATATACAATTTTATACTCTATTAATCATATATAAGAACTTTTGATATAATATATCAAATATTAATATATTATGGTAAATTGTATTGGACTTTTTGTAGGAAAAATAAATCCATTGAAAATTAAATTAGATTCCAATTCTTACCCAATTCTGTAATATGACTGGAAGCGAACATGCTTAGATTTTTGGCAACCTTTTTTAGAATTATAGAATCTAAATCGAATTTCTGTAGAAGAGCAATATTTTGTCTTATTATAATTGGATTACCAGTTTTCTTGTTGAAAAATAAGGCTTGTGGAGTTTATCCTTTACTTGACTCTGAACCATACAAGACTTCTTGACAATAATTTTAACTCCAATGCTAACAAAATGCTATCGTACAAGGCAGTATAAAGTTCATGCTGGGGCTAATTTTAGCATATTTAAGTGCAATGAATAAAAAAAATGCAGTCATTACAAAATGAAACAGCTTTGTTAAACAACAAGTATTTATATTTTTATGTCATTTTAATATTTCTCCAGTAATCCAGGTTGCTTTAAACCTACGCAAGAAATTTTCTGGTTCAAAAAGTTATTCATTCTTGTGTGACAAAAGATCACACAAAAAACACTTTTGGGATCCTTTTCACTGGAAGGATTGATGTCACATTTATTCTATTCATTCTTTATTAAATTTTTTGTAAATGCAAGTAAAATTTAATATTCCATTTTGTTTTTCAGGTAAAATGTTCCCAAATCAAGTAATGGAAAAAGATACCATGCAGAGTTTCATGGGATTCGCTCCAAACATGCGAACGGGGAATCCTGGAATGATCGGCCTGCAAAACAGGCAGCCCATTCAACCAATGATGCAACAGCCTGTTAGTAACTGGAAGATTCCGCCTGGATCAATTTCATCTCAGCACCCACAGCACACCACTATGCACCACTCTCCGGGTATGACCTCTCCGAAACCTGGCATGAATATACAAATATCGTCCACTGGTGGGTTTAATCAGCCCTCTGGAGCTATCAAGAGAGGTTATCCCGGTTCATCTGGTGCACCGCAGTATTATCCTGGCATGCAAGGTCAGCCACCAGGACCCGTCGACAGCAAAGGCATGTCAATGACAAGTCCTCTTCTCGTTAATTTATTGCAAACAACATCTGGTGTTACCACTACAGGGACGAGCACCATCGCCGGTGTGGCGACTCCAACACATCTTGCCGTTGGAGAACAACCTAAACCTAAAAGGAAGAAACCACCGAGGCGGAAAAAGACTTCGAAAAACAGCTATACACCACCTGCAGCAGATTCCATGATGATTCCAGGGCAGATGCAACCACACATGTCACCTCAACATGGAGGTGTACGGTTGTCCCAGTCACAGTTTGGAGGTCAATTCGGGATGCCACAGGTTAACTCACCTGGACCAGGACAGTATTTTCATCCTCATGGCCAACCATCAGTGCCTCAAATGCATGCTGGAATGCCGGAAATTTCTAATAACATGTATGGTCACTTTTCCAATGGAACCAATTTACCATCACCTGGCCTTCATCCTATGGGTAACAAGGCATCACCTGGCCATGTATTCAGTCCAGATCAAAAAACTTCTTACATAGAAACTATAAACAGGAGTGATGTTGGCTCAAGGCTATCATCTGGAACTCCAACTCATATGGCTCACTCAAGGGCTCCAACTCCCGGCCAGAGTCCTTCGGGTCACGGTCACATCACACCCAATCATATGCCTCAGTCATCTGGCGGTACAAATGCATTCATGGGCGCCGGATCTGGGACTGTTCACCATGGTCCTCGGATGACGGGCGGCATGAATGGAATGCAACATCATCAAGGTCGTATGTTGATGTCACCCCCTGGGATGCAACAGCGAGGAATAGGTGGACCTAATATGAGGCTGGGTGGACCGTCACCTGGGATGCAAACAAGCCCAATGTTGCAACAGTTTCCGTCACAACAACAGCAGCCGTTTCAACAGCATAATCCACAATTCCAGTCCCCACCTCCTAACATGCATGCAAATTCAGCAGCGATGTACAATCAACCGGGAATGAAACAAAATCAGCCAAATATCATGACCTCACCTTCGCCTTCAATATCCAGTGAATTTATGCAGGACACGCCTCCACCGAATGTTGTCATCAACGGATCAGATGCGTTGCAACAGGCCATCGCTTCACAGAGACAGCAAGTTTCTGGGTATCAAAAACGTGTTGTACCCAGTGACGCAAGTATACAGAATGATAGTGGCAACATGCAAAGTCCAAGCAGCTTTTTTCATTCTCAAGCAAACAATAGTCCAAGCCATGGATTGATGAAGAATCCTACCAATCCTGCTATGTATTATAACTCTACAGCTCAAATGGCTGTGGCTGGTCCTAACAACTTCAATAACAGCAACAATATGGGTTCTGATATGCATTCACAGGCTCCAGGTGGTGGGAATATCTTGTCTTTACCAACCCTTCCCTCGTCAACAGCTAGCAATATTCCACACTGTCCAAAATCTGATGGAAGCAACATGACAGAAGCCACAGTCACACATTATCCGATGAGTTCAAGGCCTAAAATGGGTGTTCTAGATTCTGGAGAAATGTCGGTTATTCTCAAGGGTCCGTGTAACTCACCTGCTAGCAATAGTGCACTGAAGCCTTTTCCTATTGTTCCATCGTTAAATGAAGCGACTACTCGGAAAATTTCACGTCAGTCAAAGAAATCTCCTGGATCTGTGACAGATGGTCATTCAAGCAGTCCAGGTTCGAATCCTTCACACACTCCCTCTCCTGCCAGTGTCAAAAGAAGCATCTCATATTCTAACCCAACCACTCCATTACATCTTGACCCCCTTGGGTCTCCGACAGCAATGCAGTCCCATTCGAGTAGCAGGAGCACAACTCCAAGACCAAAGAGCGGATGTACGACGCCTAGAAGCAGAAGTGAGACACCGGTAGCAAATTCAGGCTCAAACAGGCGGATGTCAGTTGAGAGACATCAAGGCTCGTTCCCCAGTGGACAACATCATGGAATACATCAAGGCAATCCAACTTCAATCGCAATGAACGGTCCCAGTATTTTAAATAGGCCGCCAGGAAAACTTGATGCAGGTCAGCAACAAAGCACGACTCCCACTACGAGTTATCCATACCCGTTTCCTAACCCTGGTTTTCTTGGCCCTCAAGGTACTGGTGATACATCACCATTTCCTCAGGGTCACAACCAAGGATATGTTGGTGCTCCTCCAGCATATCCTAGGGATCATCCTTTTTCTCCCGCATCCCAGCAAAACTTTGAAACGAAAACATTTGGGCCGAGTGATGTCCCGCCCAAGTCCCCATGGGGCCACACTGTTCCTAACCATACAGAGTCACATAGCCAAAATAATCCCACTAATTATGGCGATTCAAATCGTTTACAAAAGCAATTACAATCTACATCCCAACGACAGACTATGACACCAAACTCGTTGCTATCTCACGGTGCCAGCAATCATATGCGGGAAGCGCACCCTTTAAACTGTTTTAATAGTCCACAAACTGCTCCTGGTGTGTCTCCTCAGTCCATAGATACGACATCTTCAGTTGGTGAAACAAACGCTTGTCGTTCGAACTCCTCCCCACATTTCTTCAACAACCAAGCACAAGACCTGATAGCGAACAGTAAAGCAAAACAAAAAGATAACCCATCAGTTACTACTGTTCCATTACAGAGCTAGTAAATGCAGATTTGAGTTGCAAAGATAATCATTATTTTTTCTATTTATTTTCTGAAATACTGGGGTACTGCGTTTCATGTTCTCAAATCACAAAACAACTTTTATACTAATAATGAGATCTCTTTTTCCTCAAAATTTCCCATTACCTGTGATACATGTCGTTTTTCATACAGATTCTGTCTTGTTGTTGAGGGAGGCATGATGATGAATCATTATATTACAGGGCGTGGAGTGGGGTTGTGGGTGTTCCCAAGCGACAATGGATCATCCATTTAATTGTTAAAATTTTCTTGTTGATTTTCAAATGAAATGTTAATTTTATGTTTTGCCATGCAATAGAAACACTATGAGATGATAGATGATATTTTTTTTTTTAAATATTGGGTATTCTATTTTTTTCTTAATAAGGGATATATGATGATTTTGAATGATCATTTCATGGATCTATTTTAATGTTGAGACTAGTTACACCATTCAGAACTTTAAAGATCGATGTACTTTTATTTTTAATTCACACTCGAATCATTTGGAGTATTTAAATTTAACAGCTATTTGGAAAGTCTTTGAAATAGATTAAAAAAGTTTTGATTCAAATTTGTATAACATAATTCAATTTTCATATTTGCAGTACAATAAAAACGAATTTTACTTCAATTCTCAGTAAAATTAATTATGAAGGTAAGGTCAAGATAAAGTACAGATACATAAGATTATAGATTAGAAAGTTATGGAATGTCTGAACTCACATTACAGGGAACTTGTTTTCTCTCTGATTCCATAAAACGTTTACATTAGCATCAGACCACACAAAATGATCATACATTTTTTTATAGTGTGATATATTTTTCGATGTAGGTTATCAAGGGTATTCATATGTTCCAAGGTACTTTAAATTTCATAAATAATGAAATTAATCAACCATGATCCAGTGAGTTTGAAAATAACAAAAGTCATTCTTAATCAAAATCAAATGTCTTGTCTTATCTTTATTCAAAATGGTATCAGTAGAATAATGTTCTGAAATCTTGAAAATGGATGGTTGCAATAATTTTTCACTTTTTACGTTATTTTTTTCGAACGAGAGGTGGAGTAATTTATTGGAAACTGCCATTGGGGATGAAGATTGCATTACTAGAAACAAAAACGTTGAATCCATTTTCCTGTGTAATTGAAAATACCAAATGCAATCTGATTTCCAATGACAGTTTCCCATTTATTGTCTCTGTGCACGTTTAATATATGAAATGCTTGTGGCGTCAAGAGTATTGTTTTACGTACTATATATGAAATGGATTCTTTTAACTGAAAATCTTTTGCACCATACCATTGGTATATAGTTTTTTGTTCACTATCATTTGATTCGTTATGACTGCATATCTTTTTGGCATGTTTCAAATATAATCAAATACTGCAGTCGAACAAATTCTTGATAATCTAGCCATAATCTACTCACACAATCCTGTCTCACCAACTCCACTACTAACTACTGCTGTCGCAAATTGAATTGATTTAGAATGAAATCCTATTTTGTCCAATTTCTGATTGTAATTTTGGCGCTCCTGAAGTGTGTGTACTAAAATGGAGGTGTCTAATTTTGTTCTCCTACTTTTTGTCAAGTTGTGTACAGAGACTGAAACCTGTGGGCAAGGGGTATGTATATTCACTTGGCTATTGTTCCCGAACTCGTAATAGAACTAAAATAATAAGGAAAATCGGAATAAAATTATGGCCCAATCCCAACCTGGTACACACACTACGGGAGTACCGTAATTTCAATTAATATTAGGCACGAACATCTTGTTTATATATTTTGAAATCATTCTCTGCTCTCGTTCATATTAAGATAAATGGATAGATAGAAAAATGGATTCTTTTTTGGGAAAAACTTATCTAATCCAATGTTACAATAATATCAAGTTTCCTGATATTTCCCATGCCTCTCAACAGCATTATTATTTCCTTGTTTATCTTTATGTATCTACGTATACCAGCCAGCTAACAAAAATATTTGATAACCCAAAAAGTTGTTTTACCGGTCTCTGTTATGTTCAGTTAAATAGTTAATATTATCAATGTATGTACAATACAACCTGTCTACCTCAACCGGTAGATAGCGATTATAATGTTTTATTATGCAACTGTTCAACACGATTATATTGAAAACGCATTGAACTTGCGCCTGACAAAATCGTATTTGGGCATTCGATATCATTCTTAAACAATATCCTAATTTAGCAGCACAAAAACTGGCGCTCCAAGTATGTGCACCAATATGGCGGACAACGGAACATAGTATGTGTACCAGGTTAGGGTTAGGCCATAATTTTATTCCAATTTTCCTTATTTTAGTTCTATTACGAGTTTGGAGATTATAGCCTAACCCTAACCTGGTACACATACTACGTTCCGGTGTCCGGCATCTTGATTCACATACTTCGGGAGTACCAAAAAACTTATGGTAAAATACCTATCGCTGGACATTACAGTATTCTTAACCTTTTGGGTTTATGATCACAAGCGAATACAGTAGCGAACAAAACATGAAAAATTATGTAGACACGACCTTCGAGAGTTTTCGAGCACTCACTCCCCTTTTTTGTTCTTACTCTTCTTATTCTTGATATTATTATTATTCACAAGATTTATCTGAAAGAGAAAAATTATTCAATTCTTTTATTTTCTTGCGTCTATTTTTTCGATGATTATAATGCTGATGCGACGTGATTATACTTGTATACGTGTATATCTATTCTACGTTATAATCTTTTGACGCTTTCTATTATTTCTTTTGTTATTTTTGTTCTTTATTCCTATTTGTTTTTTCCATTGTTTTTCCCCCAAATATCATGAATTTTTTTGGTTTATATGACATTGCATTTTTTTACAAAAATCACTTTGCCCAAGCTGAATTTTTTGTCAGATTTATCCTTCAACAAGCACGGATCGTTGTTAAATCCACCATTTTAAGACTGGATTTATATACTTTCCGTGGTTGTCTAAGGATATTTTGACAATGCTCGCGCCGGCGCCTTTTTCACTGGAAATCGAATGTACTTGTCGAGGAAAGCAATACAAGTTTCACGTACGTACTGGCTTCATGGCGTTAGAAGGTATTTTATGACGTAGGATATGAATTAAAAGAGAAGGGCAAATGTTTTTGTAGGCTTCTCAGTGAGTTGCGATATGCGGTGTTTTGATAGAACTATCATTGGTTATCCAAAAAATAAATGGTTTAATAGGAAAGAAGAACCGCTAACTACATCATTTTCATGGTGAAAATTGTTTGCTATGAGATTCTAGGTTGTTAATCGAACTGATTAGAAAAATTCCGTCTTGTTGAGATCGGAGCTGAGGAGTCGTAGTTTGGCATGTATTAAATGATGCCGGAACCGAACTCTAAATTTAAGAAAGTAACTCCAATAAAGCATTGGGTGAGAAAGACATGCACACGCCAAGTTCTTGTTATCATATTTTATTTCTCGCGACAGGATTCTGAGTTTTTCCTGACTCGAGATCTAAATTCTAGTCAACTGGAAGGAGTGGTTTTTTGAATGGCCTGCTTCGGGTCTAATGTAAACTACTTTACACGCCTAGAGCTGGGCAGAAATGCCCTATTATGATCGTTGCGCCACTGAGGCGAGTAAGTAAATGTAACGAATTAACTTTTATGAAATACAAAAGATGCTAATTGCCGCCCTACACAATACAGTTAGGATAGGATTTTCCATATTTCTCTAGGGGAAGGGAAAGCTGATAAGGCGGCGTCTGGTATGGGGTCAGATACATAGACTTGCTTCCTGAATTCAGCTTTGACACAAAGAAAAAGGTCGAGATATCATTAGAAATATATATGAGAAAATTTAAAACTTTTTTTGTTATTGCCCAGGATAACTTGTAAGTTTATGCAATATTTTGTATTTTTTTCGTTTGAATGCGCGAAGAGTCCACTCTTGATTAATCACGATTTGGTTAACTGAGAATTTGGTGTCAATCAAAGTTCTGGAAAAAAGGCAATTCTGGTTGCTAATCTGGCGTTGCAAACGTCACTCGTGAAACTGCACGTCGTATACCAAAAATGAAAACAGTAAATAAGAATCTACTTAATATGTTATGTAATTGAAGATCGGACTATATCTAAGCACCAAAGAAACTTTGATGAGTGGTTGCTCGACAATGGGAGGTCGTTTTCATGAAGAAGTAGTCTATTCCAGATGATTTATTGACGAAGTGCTAGCAACGAAACTTACAAAGAGAGATGAAATATTTTTGTTCTCAGATGTAGGCATTGTGTTGTAGCGATGATCAACAAGCGTGTTATATTTGGCTATACACAATAAATTTTATATTTATAAAATCACTATTTTGCAAACTGCGTTCATAACCTGAATAGCTACCAGCCGTTCGACCGGTTTGGTGGTTGGTTAAAGTTGTTTTTGGTTCAGTCTACGACCAACCATACTGTTGCTAACATCGTATCTATAAACCTCTCACAATATATCAATAATGTTTTTTCTCTACTTTGATTTAGCTCGTGTATGAATGAAGTTACGTTATCACGACCCTCGCCTTGGAATTATGTACCTCTGTAGCGTGCCACCATTCCACCAATACCATATATATGCCCTTTCCATAAAAAGGTAATCTCGAATTTTCATATTGGAACTCGTAACATTATGTAAACAGTATTTGCCATCAAAGTGGTACAAAATAGAACCAAGCATGCTTTTAATCTATAAATAATTCGTGCAACTGAACCTAATCAACATAGTCCGAATGAGAACAAACATTTCAATTGGTATGTAAGAAGTAGTGCCTACACTTCTTCGTCGAATTTAGTGTCTGTTTCTTTTACACTCGTCACCAGGGTGGTCTGATCAATTTCTTCTTCACTCGGAATACACTTAACCTCTCCGATGTTAGTCATTTGAAGTTCTTCCTTTTCTAAATTTTCAAGTCGCCATTTTGCAAGAGCAGCAATCATTGGCGACGCCGTGCCATCTTTCCATTTCTGTTCCTTTATCGGCACCCAAACAAGGCCTACCATAAACAAAATAACCCCAGTTGCAAGGGATATAGGTCCATATGTAAAATACGGTGGATTTTTCTGAGTTAAGGAGTCCTCATACATAAAATGTAACACGGTCAACGCGAGGCCACCTGTTATTAAAATAGCACCGATAACTATAAATATTACAGGCTTGAGAAAATATAAAAATTTGTCCATGAGAACACATCCACACAGTCGATCTCCTAGTTCGACAGCATCTTGTGCTGTAAAATACCCACGTTTGCCCTTACGAGGAAAACCAGCAGGGCCTTCGCCAGATGCAAGTGAATCGGAACTTGAACTGGAACTCGATGTGTCGGAATTTTTTCTGTGCTTCCTCCCACTTTCCCGGTTGGACGCTGACGATTTTGGTCTGGTTGTTTCGCGAGATTTAATACTGTCGTTTCTGACGAGGTCCATGAGTATTTCACCTCGTGTTGTTGGCTCTTTATTACCTTGGGACGATTTATGGCGTCGAGATCCCCTTGTTGACCGACGAGATCCCCTGGAACCTTGTCGGGGAGAGGCTGGAGGACCACCAGATATAGTGGATGAAGCTCTACGGCTACCATTCAGCCTGTCAATTTCAAGCAATGATTTTTTCTCTTCCGACATCGATTCTGATGATTTTTGATTTATGTTAATTTTAACTGACAAAGTATCCGACCATCCTCCTATACTGTCCACTTCCGCCTTGACGCCGGCTGCCGCAATCTTCTTCGGAGTAGATGGTGCTATATTTCGGTGAGGTGAATCAGACGATTTATTGTCATTTACATTACGGTTGAAAGACGAAGTTCGAGATCTTGGTTCTGGCAAATTTGGTACGGGATCTTCCAAGTACACAGCAGTCTCTTGAATTACATCATCTGTTAATAGATATTAGACTAGATGAATTCACGACTTGGAGTAATGTTTTCAGCAATTTTCTGTTTGCTGCATGTCATTGTAATCGAGTATTTTACTGATACTTAACCGAATGAGTCATACTCACTCGTAGATTACAGGTACTAGGTGATTAATTCATTTAACCGAATATTCCATTAGTCGGAATACCCCAAGCTGGTAATGCGACAGTTGCGACATCAAAATAACATTGCAAGTTGACAATTTAGGGCAATCTACAAATGACTCTCAGTTAAGGTCGGATTTAGAATATGAGAGCCCTAAGCTATTATGACGCCAAACACAAATTTTATTCCTTACAATAAAAAGGTGTACGACATAAACGATCCCGAAATAGTAACAATATAATTTAATTTGTTGTTGAGTAGATAAATTAAATACAGTTGTTACCATTTTCTTTTGTTTTCCGAAGCAATATTAGGGTAGTTTAAATTTATTTCAAGTATACTTCAAATTGTTAAGATTTCAAATTTAGAAAAATTCATTATTTCGACCACAATTGATTTTCAACCCAAGAATACCGTAATTATAAATGAAACAAATTTTAATTTAGAAAAATTTTGAAACAGTCAAGTTCTGAAAATCGTCTTTAAATTTTAAAAGTAAATGGTTTAATCGCAAGATCCCGAAGCGAAAACCCATCGGAGTTTAATCAAATCAGTTGGACTCTGGCGATCTGGCATTTTCGGCACACACATACCTGGAATAGGATCTCTTTCTTTGGACATTTTATATTCTTGAGTAACTTTGTTCTGATGGTGAATTCATTAAATAGTCATCGACCAGATTTACTCAACCACTCACGATGTCGATGTAAATTATTTTAAAATTACCTCCTGTGATACTTTTAATGAGATGTATATAAAGAAAAACTGAAATACAAAAGAGGAACAATAATCAATGTTTTCTGTAGGCCTACTCAAATTGGCTCTTGTTAATGGGTCGAGCAACTGGTCGGGGAACAATGTGAGTTATTCCCCAAGTGTTTTCACGTCGACCGCTGTAGGAATGACAACCTCGTGTATTCTTGTTGGATTTCTCTCAAGGGTTGGCCGGGATTTCAGACATGGTGATGTTTGTCTTCTCTGTAGCTAAGGTAGTGTTTTCATTACAACGCTAAACGAGTTCCTTATCAGTCTCAAGGCCGTGTTGTCCAATCTTCCTTACAATACTAGAAGTGGTAGCAGGCAGAATTTATATGGTGAAATGTTGTAGCCTAGACCGCTTGCTAGCCTTCCATGGTGATTTACCCGGTATTTCTTCTTTGCACAGACCATAAATCTCTCACTTTATCTGCGTAGTCTTTTTTCTCTCTACCTTTATCTCAGTTCTGGTGTTATTTTTTGCTTTTCTCATACTTTCAATACTATCACCACAGCTCTTTTTTCAATTTCATAATTTTTGTAGAAAAAATACGCAGTACCTGATCCATTTGTTACCAGTTTTTATGAAAATATTTATATAGCAAGTCTTTACATAAAGCCATAAAACATTGAATTGATTGGCGGTACAATTTGTATCTGCCCTCTTAGTAGCACTCGAGTCTATACATGGCATCCCAATAGCTTGCTACGCTGGAGATTATTCGAATGACGACTGAGGCCGTATATTCACCTCTATTACTAACTCAACATATATTATTACTATTTTAAGCATCTTCATATGCTTTTGCGGATGAAATTTCGGGAACTTTATTTACTTTTTACCAATCACCTCTTTACCGCCTTTGGTTTCGTGGTTTACGCGTGTAGATTCCATTTTGAACAACCAAAATCAGTAAGCGCATCTGATATACGCAAAATAATTTTCATTCCATTCTATGTTACCACAAGAGATACGACAAGGGATTTAACGACAATTTGAGTACATTGTTCCCCTTCATTCATATGATGAGCTTCTTTAGTACGCTGATGTCAGTTTCCTTACACTTCTACTATATTCATCTACCTAACTCTAAACTCTTTTAATCATTTCAGCGTAAATTCCATCAACTTGTCTCTTGGATAAGTGATGTACATACACCATACATACTTGTGGATTTCCACATTTTGCAGCTGCAGAATGATTAAAAAATCGTTAATTTTCATTCAATCATCGATATCGCTCGCAATATATCTATAATTGATCCGCGACTTAATTTATTTTTTTCTGCATTGATATCTTTATTATTTCATGAATACAACTATTTGCCTGATTCTAAAGGAATAAAACTTTATCTTACGCACGTTACGATATCATAATACTCCATTTCGACACATAGTCCTAATACAATATTCAGAGTGTTATGTATACATAAAAATATACACTCGAAAGTCACATCCAATCGAAAGTCGCAATTTGCAACGCTGCGTGATATACCGAAGTTTTTTCTACATCAAGGTGCACTTAGCTGTGGTAACGAAGAATGAAATATTTAGGTGGCTTTTACTTCACTCGGAGTAATTGGAATTCACAATACCGAGAAAAATTGTGGATACCCTTTAAAAAGGTGTATCAACTTGATGGTGACTAATAAATTATTAACACTTGTCACGCACTTTAATTTACCATGCATCGACGGCCGGTATGGTATGCAAGTGTTTGCCCGATAGTAAATAGATGGCATTTGATATTTCACGGGACGGGAGACACGCCACTGTCTCACAAAGAACAAGCGAGACACACTTTTCAATTACTTAGCTCAGAGTTTGAATGACGGGACACAATCTTCAATTTCTGCTAAAAATATTTAAGTGTACTTTGTAGCGTGCGTTCAAACTAGTTCACAGATAAATATTGTTCGAATATATGGCCATGCAAAATTTTGTTTGATTTCAGAATCCAGAACCCATCAAGGTAAATAATATTTAGGAAATTACGTCAACGAAATTGGCAGCGAACTATGCGTCGTATTTGTCTTCGTTGAATATGAGATATTCTATCAATTTTTTACAAACTGTAATGGAATTCTGTCAATCGATTTGCGATGCAATTTTTCATTGCGCATTTTAGCTATCCACGATTCGCAATTTTGAAACTTATAAAAGAAAAAGGTTTTAGATATTAAGTATAAAAAAAATCATGCGCAACTTGCCGAGAATAAGCAAACAAAATCGAACAATTCACATTTTCGACGATTTCGAGACAAAATGGCGAATGTTGACATTTCGAAATAAAATTTTTGGGAAAAAAATTACAAGGAAATAACTGACTTTTGAGATGTTTTTTAATTGAAATTTAAAGCCATGTTCACCAAAGTATTTCAATAAAAGTTAAAGACGTTTAAAAGTCAAAAATATATGTTTTCTGATTTTTTCGAAATAGTTTTTTTTTTCAACTTTCGCCTTTTTTCGTTAAATCCCTCGAAATGATAATATTTATTATCACGGTATAGCGCATAAAAAAACAAATTCATTGACTATTTAAAAATTACAAAATCAAACCAACATTAATTTTCAACTGCCAACACTAGAATTACATCCTGTGCAATTCAACAGATAAAAATAAAGTGAACACTATCAATAATTTTACACCTTAAATCGTGGAACATATTTCATATTTTCAAATTCTAGAATATAGAGTTTTGTTTCTCAAACGTTTTAAGCCGTGCCCCTTTTTAGAATTTGTCAAGTCTCGCGCACCACTTCAAAAGTAACTAGCTAACAATAGCCCCCCTCCCCCTCTTATGGGGCGCGCTCCTATCGCTTGAGAACCACTGATCTGGAGGAAAAGAACGGGACATGCCACAGTGGTTTTATTGAAAACGTAACAAGTGCGTGACTGAGGCCAGCATATTCGTCGTCGCCAGACTGTTGCCGTCGGAGGAAACAAGACACGTGACCGATCTTTCCAATTAGCTAAAGCTTGATCAAAATTAGGATGACAAGATTTGACAGAATTCAATAATTGAATCAATAAAATTTTATAATTAAGTGATCAAGCAAATGCACTTATGTACCGATACAAACGACTAAATTAATCTGATTCGCGATATTAAGATTTAATTTAAAACAACTCTTACGTACTGCGAAAGTACATTGCGTGAACTTTTTGCGTGAATAATTTCGTTTTCGTCAATAGTAGGTTTAACAATTTTGAGGGAGCAGAAACTATTATAAATTTGTTTGAATCAACAAATTTTATTTTTGATAGTATGGAATTCAATGCCAAAATGTTTTAGTCTTTCTCTTCTTTAGTATATTTATTTCATTTCTGATATTGCTTTTACAAAGTGTACATATACGGTCCAATTCCGAGCCGATACCACACTTCATTATAGCCGGAATAAAATGAAGAATGCAGTACCAGAATGCCTCCATTCTTTTTGATATGAGATTTTCACGACCAAATAGTCTTTATATTTTGGGTTATCGCAGCATGAAGAGACAACACGTAGCACCGGACAGTGGCGTATCTACATAAAATTGCGCTCATGGCAAAATTTAAAAATGCGCCCCCCTTGATAGTTAGTTCACAAAATTTATAATGACTCTCGTGGGAATGAGTTAATTTTACGTTATTATTTGAGTAAAACTACGAGTTTCAGTTATTACCAATTTGAAATTATTTTATTGAATCATTTAATGATTAAAACTTTTCGCCTTGTTTGCGCTCTGTCCAAATGGCGCCTATGGCACGAGCCATGGCTGCCACACCCTAGATATGCCACTGGTACCGGGTCTACCAATAGTCTATGCCCAATGAAATTGATCTCTTATCAAAGTATTCGATAGTATTGTTCAATTTTTTACCACCTTCAAAAAGGAAGGTTTCTCCCTAATTATTTAAAATTTATAATCAACTGTATAAATATTCAATCGGAAATGATAAAAATACATAAAAATAAACATTACGTTGTATATTTGTTTAGCCAAGTCAAATGTTTATTAGCGTGCGGGCATGACCTCCATTATTTATGAGAATTCATAACCACAGATAATTTCACTCACTTTTATAAAATGCAGTATTCATTAAGAACGCAAAGTGAAACTAACCCAGAAACGGGCGCTGCAGAAGTGTGTGCACCAATATGTGTAAAGGGACTGAAGCCCATGGGCAAGGGGTATATTCACTTGGCTAACACAGACAGTCCTCGAACTCATAATGGAACTAAACTAACGAAAAAATCGGAATAATATTTTGGCCCAATCCTAACCTGTTACACACACTACGGGATTACCCAGAAACGTTATATCCTCTAGTATTTAGTCAGAAAATGTGACTTTCAGCAATCAAAACTAACAAATTAAAAGGCAAACTTACTCGAGATTCAAAAATTTGCAGAACGTAACCTACACTTGCGAGAAAAGAATTGATTATCCTTTGGGAGTTCGGTGGTGGAAGTCTGACAAACCGATCCTGTCAAATTTTCTGTGATCTTACATTTATCATGCCAATAGGGAACGATATGGCGAAGCATTTATGATGAACCGCTACACTAATCTATCATATTTAACCTATTTATGAACTTGATGTATAGTTTTGCGCAATTTTGAGTTATAACTGATGCATAAAATAAAACCGCAAAAACTGGAACGCTATTCAGAAGATCATTATTTGATAGATATAAATGAGACGATTGGGGTTACCAAAATGTTTATATCATCAGGTTATATAAAAACTGAAGGGTACAATTTGAATTGTATAGTCAATGAATCAGCGGGATGAAAACGACGTATTAAACCCAGTCGCCTTCAAAATAACATCATTTTATTTTATATATTCTTGGGTTAATGGGGATTCAAAATTATCTTCACAGTGGTAATAAATTTAGATTGACGAAATAGAAAATAATTACGGATAATAACGGTTGATTTGTCTTCTGCGAAGATGTAGATTGCAGTCATCACGTGATCAAAATTGCATTCGTGATAATAAACTATTCAAAAACTTG